CAGGCTGGTCTCGAACCCTGGGCTCAAGCAAGCCTCTCGCCTTGGCCTCCCAAAGTTCTGGGACTACAGACTGAGCCACCATGCCTGGTCAAATTATTATTTAAGAATGAAAAAATGTCAAATAAATTGAGCGTCTCCTAAGTGTACAGTGATTATAGAGTCCACAGTAGTGCACAGTAACGTCCTGGATCTTCATGCTCACTCACCACTCACTGACTCACCCAGAGCAACTTCAGTTCTGCAAGCTCCATTCATGTTAAGTGCCCTATGCAGGTGGACCATATTTTATCTTTTATACTGTATTTTTACTGATGCTGTTCTATGTTTAGAGATGCAAAGACTCACCATTGTGCTACAAGTGCCTACAGTATTCAGTACAACATGCTGTTACAGGCTATAGCCTAGGAGCAAAGGCTGTACCATGGAGCCTAAATGTGTAGGAGGCTAGACGATCTAGGTTTGTGTAAGTGTATTCTGTGGTATTCACACAACAATAAAATTGCAGCATGATGAATTCCTCAGAATATATTTCTTTGGTTAAATGACATGTGTCTGTAATGGTAATGAAAAGTTAGAAATTTAAAACCATTTCGATGCCATGAAAACACAAAAAATAGGAGATACTTAGGGCACAACTAGAAAAAAATTAAGAAATATAGGCAATAAAAACTGTAAAATGTTGTGGAAAGAAAATTAAAAAGACCTAAGGAAATAGATATACCATGCTTATAATCTGAAGACTCAATATTGTTGCATTGTCAAATATTCCTGGATTTACCTATAGGTTTAATGTGATCCCAATAAAAATCCAACTCAGGTTTTTGGTAGACAGTGACAAACTGATTCTTTTTTTTTTTTTTGAGTTGAAGTCTCATTCTGTTGCCCAGGCTGGAGTGCAGTGGCACACTCACGGGGACCGCAGCCTCGACCTGCTGGGCTCAGGTGATCCTTCCAACTCAGCCTTCCAAGTAGCTGGAACTACAGGCACGTGCCTCCATACCCAGCTAGTTTTTTTATTTATTGTAGAGACAAGGTCTCACTAAGTTGCCCAGGCTGGTCTCGAACCCCATGACTCAGGCAATTCTCTCACCTTGGCCTCCCAAAGTGCTGGTATTACAGGCTTGACCACCGTACCCAGATGACAAACTGATTCTAACTTTCATGTGGAATTGCAGAGAACCTAGGCTAGCCAAAACAATGTTAAAGAAGAACAAAGTTGGAGAGCAAATCACATTGCATCAGTTCTGACTATTCTAGTCCTCATCTCGTGTGACTCTAAGCAGCAAATAACTGATCAGGTACTCTCTGGCTTTGTTGTGTATTAATAACTATTTCTCAGGCAGGCAGTAAGCAACCTGAAATCATTTATTAAATTCTAGTCTTGAACACCTCTTCAGCGGAAGTATGGCATCATGCTTAAAGTCCTAGACTCTCAAGTCAGACAAGATTCACCTTTGTTTCTCTAAGTGACTCTGGGAAAGTCGCTGGATCTCTCTGTGCTCAGTTTCTCCATCTGTGAAATGGGACAGTAATAATAGCAACAGTGTCCATGTAGAATTTCTGTGACGCTTAAATGAGATAATAAGTGTCTTGTCATAGTAGCCACTTATTGTCTGTTGAATAAATTGACCCAAAGACCAGAGAGCAGTTAGTTGCTGAAATTAGGTTGGCTAGGACAAGTTAACCCTCACCTTCCACCATAAAAATTCCATTTGGAAACACATTGCGTGCTATGGTAAGTTTACTTGATTAGAGTGTTTGAAACAACATAGTATGATAACATAGTTGTAGCCAAAGTTATTTTTCAGAAAATGATCTGAGACTAGGCTGAAAGCCCTAAACCTGGTGATCAGGAGAGTTTCCTAATCTACAGCCTACATGTGCATTTCCACTTGGACTCACAGCCCTGGGAGATGGTCCATCATTGCTTGTATTGTCCAATTAATAGAGGAAGGAGATAAGACAGTAAAAGATTGTCTCACACTGGGCGTGGTGGCTCACGCCTGTAATCCCAGCACTTTGGGAGACTGAGGTGGAAGAACTGCTTGAGCCCACAAGTTCAAGATCAGTCTAGGAAGCATAGAGAGACCTTGTCTCTACAAAAGAGAAAAAGAAAAAGAAAAATTAGCTGGGCATGGTGGCAGCTCCTGTAGTCCCAGCTACTCAGGCGGCTGCAATGAGCCGTAATCATGCCATTACACCCTAGCCTGGGTGACAGAGTGAGACCACGACTCAAAAAAAAAAAAAAAAACACACACCTCGTCAAATATGTTGAATATTTTCTGTGTTCCAAGAATTTTGGGTCTGTGAAACCTCTGGGAGTCGGCATTATTATCCCCATTTTACAGCAGAAGAAACCGAGGCTCTGAAAGGTTACCCAAGGTCACACAGCTGGGGAGTCGGCAGGGCCAGATCCGAAGCCAGATCTCGCGGATTCCCAGGCTCGGGCTGCCCCGGCTTCCAGCCCAAGGTCCCCAGAAGAGGTGACCGGGGGCATCATCCAGCGAGGCTGCCTGAGACGCTTTATAGAGACACACAGAGACAGACTGGCGTTTTAAGACTCCTGCCCCCCACCTGACCGAGGGACTGCTCTTCTCCCAGCTGCGAAGGGTCTCTGGTTTACAGAAACGCACTCAAGCGGTTAGAGAAGAGGGGACCCTCCTCCCCTCCCCCGGCAGAGCAGAGGCCGGCGCTGTCACGGGCCCCCGGACGCCCTTCACCTCGGCCGAGCCCCGCCCGCGTCCTGGTTTCGCTCCAGGGCCGCTTGTGGCTTCCCGCCCCCGCGGCGACCCCCTGGGCGGGCTTCCCGGTACTCCTCGTGGCCTGCGTGACTTCCGTGTCTCTGCCACAGTGACAGAGGCGCCAGGAGCCGCGGCGTCCTGCTGGGCGTTCGGGGCCCGTCGTGGGACTGGCCGCGCGCGGGGCGGGAGCCTCAGCGGCGCAGAGCAGCCTCGCGGCCTCGCCGCCTCCCCGCCTCGCCGCCTCCCCGCCTCGCCGCCTCCCCGCCTCGCCGCCTCCCCGCCTCGCCGCCTCCCCGCGCCGGCCGCCCGG